GGTAGCGGTCGGCGCTTTCTCGATACTTCTCCATCATCTTGACATACAGCGAAGATGGGATCCGTTGCTGACCTTTCAGGCATGAATCCGAAACTGTTTCTGGGAGTCCTGGGAGATCGAGATTGGCTCCTGCAGCGTCGTGTCGACCAACCGCTCGGACAGCTTCATAGCATACACAGTCAACCTACAAATTACTTTCAGGGCAAGCCACGCTTTTTCAAAACGGTTTCTTGCATATTGTAGGGACGCATGTAGGGAACACAAAACCATGTTTCATTTTCGCTGAACGGTTTTAGCAGTACCAAAAAAGAAGCATAAGGTACTGTTAAGGGTTCGATCCCCCGTGGCGACTAAATTTTGCATTTGGGTTGGCGCCTACGGTTTGGTGCCAAATCGCGCTAAATATCAAAATCAGATGTCAATTCATCGTCAGGACCATTTTGAAGCCAACAAGTGGCCGCCAACCTTGATTGCAAAATTTAGTCGCCGCGGGGATCGAACCATCAAGGGTCATTCACCACTTTTTTGATACTACTAAAACCGTTCAGCGAAAACGAAACATGGTTTTGTGGTCCATACATGCGTCCCTACAATATGCAAGAAACCGTTTCCAAAAAGCGCGGCTTGGTACCAATTAACCGACCCCGGAGGGATGGAAGGCTTGGTTGGCCCGGGCGACTCACGACCCAGGATTTGATCCCCGGACCGCTCGCGTGGTAAGCGTGCCACTTGCCACTACACCACTTCCGCCCTCCTTAGTTACGGTGAGAAATCGGGCAAGTCACCTCATCGTATGTTCTCCGAGCACCTTCCATGCCACGATTAGTACCCAATCTGGATCAATCGCTTTTCCAAACTTAATCTTTCCACCTACACGGAAAACCAATTAGCAAACCTTATCCATTGCGGGAATGCTCGTCATTGCAAAGTTTGCTGTATTATTCTTCCCACCACCTTTTGACTCCGGTCGGTTTGCTTAGGATGGCCCCTCTTTCGCACTGAACGTTAATTGTATGCTTGGATATGTGGAAGGAAGAGCGGGATGTTGCTCAAAGCCTGTTAATGCGTGGGGAGGAGAGGGTGGGGGTGAAGAGGGTTCATTTACCCGGAGCGTCACTCATCCTGGATGGGATCAGGGAAATGTAGGAAACGGCAGGGCTACAAGAAAACGGCTTTAGATTTCAGTAGAGGAGAGAGAGCGCGTGGCAGGGTGAACAGTTGATCACGTTTGCTTGCATTATGTTCGTTGTCGTTGAGCTCAATCCCTACAGTCATAGGTCCTATCCTTCCATGTTTAGGGGGAAAACTTAGCTACTTTTGATCAAGTTAGGCATTTCAGTATGTCCGAATTTCAAGCCGTTTTGTTATGCGGTGGTTCGGGAAGTCGCATGACAGAATTATGCGACGGAATGCTCAAATGTCTACTACCTATAGCCGATGTACCGATGTTTTGGTATCCACTGAATACCTTGGTATGTTCAGGAGTAAAAGGTGAGCTGATAGCTACCAGGTTGGATTTTTATAATTGGTTCGGTTCCTTTTCTATTGCCGCTCTCGAAAAAACCTGTCGCTTGCAGATATCAAGCTTTTCGTTCGGGAGGATGGCAGAGCTGAAGTGAGCAGTCTGTTGGCAACTCCTCTCTTCTCATTCCCATCAGTAACTATAGAGTTGGTTCCTTTGTCGCGGGATCAGGAGGACTGGGGGACAGCAGACGTGCTTCGACACCATGCTGCAAAGATAACGGTGAGAATTGCAGTTTTTCCACTGTTTTGCATAGAAGATCATTGAAGTACAAAGCACTGCAAGCAGTACAATTGCTGTAGCGGCATCGAAGAACGAAAACAGGAAATTCTTATAGAATGCATAAAGGTATCATGTTCGCAGCAGACCCTGCGACTGCGCGGGACTAACGCTAGGGAGAAGAAGAAGAAAGGTATCATGTTCGGCTTTCATGAAACCTATGGTGTGCGTACCAGTTGGCGCCGCACGCGTTGCGCGCACACACAGTTCTGCGGCGAATGGGATGGTGCGGCGTAAATTTTCAAATTTGGCCTGATACACTACGAATATTTGACTTCTAAGCTAGATTCTATCCGCTCCATCCACCGATGGCTTTTAACCTCTTTTCTTAAAGGAATCTTCCACGGACCATGGACCAGTGGGCGGGACCGGAAGTGGTTTTGCGACGAAATGCATGGTAGGTACGGATCCACGTTCATGGGAAGGTTTGAAGTGAATCCTGTTCACGTTCGTGCGTTCGACACGTGGATCCGTACCTACCATGCATTTCGTCACAAAAACTTCCGGTCCCGCCCACTGGTCCATGGTCCGTGGAAGATTCCTTTAACCGTTGTCTTCTTCTTTGGTCTCATGACCTCTTGGAACCGAGTTGTAGGCTTGGAAGACCGAGCGATGAAGCTTTGTGGGTAACACCGCTCACTTTGGTGTTTGCCCCAGCCAACCAGCAGAGTTTGACTTCTTTCTTAGCCATTCTATCCCCTATGTTCCGGGTCCTATGGCTTGCGAACGAGATCTAATGTTATGGTGTTTCGTGGGTAACTCCTCCCACTTTGGTGCAAGCCCGCCCACTCACGGCAGTTGAGCTCGTTTCCACGCCGACCTCTACTCACTTTTTCCAGTCTCCGGGACTTCTTGAAACCGAGCTATAGGTTTGGTGGCAAACCCCGCCCCTTCTGTGCTGGTAACGCCCACCATTGACATTTGTCCACTCCTCTGATCTCCATCCACCTTTTTCCGCTCTCCAAAACTTGTCGGAACCGAATTAAGGGGCTTATTGGAAACGCTGTGCACTTCAGGGCACGCTCCGCCCATTAACTGCTCACGTTATGTATGCTTTGAACACCTTAGACATTGCCCTACAAATTGTTTTCTGCTCTGTAGGCTTTCTCCCAACCGAGTTATGAAATTTTTCATAAAGCACTGCTTTTTTTAGAGAACGCCCCGCCCACCGGGGGTGGGTCTCCCTAATTCGATCTGGCTTACCAATGCACACCTTTACCCACTTTTTTCCCCAGTCTCGAGGCTGTTTTGTGACTGAATTTGAAATCTTGGTCCTCAGTACACTCATTTCGACGCACGCCACGCCCACTGTGGGCGGGGCTCCGCTTAGCTGATGTGTTTTGTACTTCTCGAGACCTTGCCCACCCATCCCACACTTGACCCGGTCTCTCCAGGCGGATCCCCAGGAGCTAGGGAATTTCGTGACAGACATACAGAACGACAGACAGACGACAGACGAAGCGCTTTGTAGTACGTCTCGTTCCGTTTTTATGGTTTGCGATCCGATTTTCGAGAAAGCGCGAGTTTTTTGCTTCCAATATTAATAACCTCTTTGGCTTCACAGGAAAGTTCACCTTCGACGCGGACGCCACCGTGACATCGCACCGGCGGAAGGGCGAGGAACAGCGCTGCCGCCAATCCTTTATTACATTGCTGCTGTGATGAGCATGTGTAGAGCATTTATCGTACTCTAACTTGTGGGTGGGAGTCATGTAATGGTTAGTGGCGCTGCGTAGTACGCGCGGCCCGGGGATCAAATCCCGAGTCGGCGTCATCCAGGGCAACATCCCGCCGGGGTCGGTTGATCAGAACTAGACTTGTCTGCGGTATAAAAACACTGACTCTTACATTGGCTGGCATGGTATAGGCCAAATCGCATTGCAAACTGCCTACTACGACTTTGATTGGAGAGTGGAATGCGTGGCGTATCCCAAAACAGATTGATCAACGCCGAATGCTTTATCCTATGGTTTAACATTACAGTGCAGTAAGTAGAAGTAAGCAGGGATCAGGATCGATGAGATCAGCATCTGGTTGGTTGAAAACAATTTCAGCTTTATTGTGCACTCCTAATGGGTTACCAATACAAGTCCCTATTTCCTCGATTTGACCTAGAAAATCCAAATTTCCCAGCACAAACATTGTACCTGTGCACAACTATTTCGCCCCCCCCCCTTCCCGCTGATTCACCGGTTGGTTAGATGCCTATAATCTACTGCGCGGCTCTGGCCATCGCTTGTCCTTTCGTCGCGATTACAGCGCCTGTAACGTCGCCTTGCTCTTTCTAGATTTCCAAGGCTCATTTTTTGCCATGATTCTTTGGGCTATTCTCCTGAGACGCGAGTTTTCGCTCTTCAGACCGCATGAATTTCTTCGAAACTGCTTTCATGGGAGGCATTGCAAACGCTGAAACAAATCAGAATTTTGTAAAGGTCGCTGGAAGACAGACCACTGAACCGGTCTTCCAGCCGCTCTCCCTCAAGGATTTTCTAAGTAGTTCGTCTGGAAGTCATCGCCCTATTCCCACAATTTCCTTCATTTCGATTGATCCTCATACGCATCCGGATTCCTCTGAAGAATTTTGCTATTCTTGTGCGTTTTTGAAATATGAAGCGTGCTAGTAATAAGCCCTGCTCAGGAATGCGCCATGTTCCTCAGCTGTGCTTGATATGCGCAGTAGTACTTGGAAAGCTGTTTTCTTTCACTACTTTGCTATGCCTTGAGACCAGATCCGGCAGATGGTTGGATCCTTTTCAGCGATTTCTAGTTTCGCTTCATCTGCAGTGACCAATCGGATCGATCTGCTTTTAAATCAACGATCCAAACGATAAACATAGAACGGCTTCTAATACCTCTCTAACACTGATGTTAGTTTGGGGCCTAGGTTCTGCATTCATTTCGTGCTGAGGAGGATTTTGAAGTTACAATCGAGGTCTCCGCGCAAGAATCAGAGAAACATTTGTCCGAATAACCCTCGAGGCATTTCGGAATGGATCAAAGCAACGCAAAAAATAATCAAGAGAAGAAGATCTTATGATAACGAGGGAGTTGAGACCTAATATGAAGTTGGCCTTCCAGTAGTGACACTCAATTGAATGGAGTCCGGATTGCAACTGGTAGTTGCTGGCTTGTGCCTGGTCTATGAATACGGCCCTGGTGACGATGAGTGGCCCCATTTTGCGGCTGCCCGATATCTTCTGTTCGATTTTGAACTTCTGTAGAGTAAGGACAACTAAGGTCGGACAGTCATGAATTGACTGCACTTTTCATGATCCGAAGAAGGCTATCCCGCCGAAAAGATTGGCCGATAACGTCTGTTAACATCCTCCTGTTGAGTTAAAAGGCAAACCCCGGGATTGGCCCGACTAGTAGGAGGGATACCACTAGGGAAATTGTAAGGTCTGTACCTACCTAGATCACTCCAGCTTCGTCGCAAAAATTGCGCGGTTAGGCGCTATCCTTACGGGCCCGCAACCATCGACTCCCGTTCCAACGCATCCCACCCACCGCGAGAGGTGGTGAGATCAGTGCATTGATGAGAGATCAGCGACTGCTCTCAAACGACGTGCTTCTACTTAACTTCTTACTCTCGATCCAAGCTATTCGTCTCGGCGCAACGCACAGAAAAACGCAGGTCGCACATCTTCCAGGTCGCTCTGCTTCGGGCTCTTCTGCGCCACAACTGGCCGTACATCTTCACGAGAGGGTCTGCCCATCTGGTGGGGGGTCTGCCTCTGGGCCTTGTTTTTCCCCTTGGGTACCAGTCAGTCACTCTCTTCGTCCAGCGATCATCGGTAAGTCTAGCCACATGACCGGCCCACCTCCGCTTGGAATTATAGATGACATCGACGACGTCCTTCACCATCGTACGAGCGCGATTCGACACCTAACGACGTGCTCTCTTCGCGTATTTGTCTTCTTGAACGCACCCTTCTCTGCCGTCGTCCCCGCAGTCCGATCCATAAGTGAAAGGCCTTAATGCAGCGTCTTCATAAGTTCTCTTTGTCTCCTCTCTCTAATCTATTGTCGTACCGCAGTATCACATAGAAGCGCTAATACATCGTTCAATTCCGGTTGCCTTAAATAGAAGACAGTGGCATACTAATATAATGCCGATTCCTATGTAACAACCAGTATAATCTGTGGATGCAGCTGCATTGATTAGCCCATTGGAGTCAATGAAAACGACCATCGTCCTAATTCTTCCTAGCTTCGCTCTCTCCATATCGCTCTCGGGTTTGTCATAGGCGCCGTGAGCGTAGAAATAAACGCCTTTCTCGTGACGTAACATTGTTTATCACTTTCAGAAGACAGCTAGACTATTCAAAAGTCTTTCAGCCGTGAACTTTAGTTGTGATGTCATGTGATTTTCATTTCGCGACTCACGTCTTCAGCCATGATCCGACCACAACACAACTCGAGCTAACAGACGTGTGAACCTTACATGCTAGTTTCAGTCACCGAGCTTTGGAAATAAGACAGCTTGCTCGCTTCGACAAGATTCTCTTAACCTCTTAAACCTTCGCAATCTTTCGTTACAAAAAACATTGACGTATTACGAAGCAAACCTTCGTGCTCTTGTGCTCAGTGATACTGAGTTGCGCCACCTCAGGTGCCAGCCTGCTGCTCTAGCGCAGGGATAATCCGCGCCCAAGCCGGATTTAAATCCGCCCGCGTTCCGAAGCTTCGTTTAGTGTGCTTTTCCGAGACGCTTTAAGCTTCTACCTTAAATTTATAGCGAGTAAGAGATGCAGAATGGTTGGCGGGATGTGATCCACAAATCCTCACTAACTCTCCTACCTTGCCTCTCCTGAGCTGACAGCCGTCTGAATCACCAAATTACACAACAAACTAGTGGGCGAAACGCATTTGGCAGGAGACGCATCTCACAGTATTCGCTCAGTAAACAGCGCACCTTTCGCCGTCGTCACCACTCCTCGACTTCCTGCAGCAAACATCTACTAGCTTCTTGTCGCACACACTTCCCTTCTCTTCCTCTTTGTCGTGATCGCTTTCGTTAATCAGCCTGGGTAGGATGAAGGACGTGGACGACTGGGGTAGAATACAGTGTGAGGTTGATTCTGATTCTGAGGGAGTGCGACTGATAAGTGGTCTCACTTGCTACTGCCAGCCCTCCACTCGTTCTCGCCGTAAACTGATCGTACCTTCAACTATGAAATGATTTCCTTTTCTCATTAAACATTTCATCCTGGCATTTTGCTATGTCTTCTCAAAAAATCCCATTCACAAGCTTGTCCTGTCCGATTACCCCGCGCATCCAAATTTTCTGCCCATGAGTCGAACGACCACTCATCCGGGACCCCTCAGCTTTCCCCTTCACATTATATCCTTTCAAACCGGCAGTGAGTCACAGATCGACAATCTTAGTTTTGCAAAAATTACTCAAAACTTAAGATTGGCCATTCCATCCTTCTCCATTTCTTGATATGCATGTTGGCATTCTTTTCAATCAGCGGAACAGCGGAATCAGACCCTGTTGATAGACAAACGGATACAGAGTGAAGAGAGACACAATTAGGAAAGGAATTAAAGTTCAGGTTCACTTAGGTAGAGATTTGTCGCAATTGAAGAATCGTCGAGGAGCATGGTCTACATAGCCTCTGAAGAAGACTTTGATCATCCTGTGAATGCTATGCCATGGTTGAATAAGTGAGTTTAGGCTTGCTTTGTAGTTTTAACTTATTCTGCATCCGAGCTAATGTTACCGTTTACATATGCTCAGAACCCACTCGCCTTGCCTGCGCGCAGAGAGTCGAAAGCTCGATCTCCTGCACGTATCTAAATATGCTGTCCAATGGCAAACTATTATGGAGTGTTTTGAGTAATGGAAGAGAGTAATGAGGCTGCGTAAGGAGAGATAAAATGAGGCGAAAAATTTCGGACGAAGCAGCAATGAATGTGGCATGGTGGCGATGAAGCAGAGGACATGTGAAAACATAATCGGAAAGTCAACAAAAAAATCGTCAGTGATTGTTCGAGTGCGCTTGAAAGTCATCAGTTAATAATTTCTCGTGATAGATCCGAATTCACAGTGCCCCCCCCCCTCTGCAATCGCGTGATTTCCGTTTTCTTGATCGACATCTTGTGGAGTGGATGTGAATGTGAAAACGGCTGTCCAATACGTCTTATATATAGGATGTTATAATGACAGTCACATTATTCGTATAACGCCCATCCGCTTCGCGTTCGTTATTCTTTTCTTAGTACTGTTCTTCCATACACGCGTCGACTTGAAGAGCAAGCCTAGGGACAAAGTGTGTGGGTGTAAGAGGGTTTTGTATTGGGCTGGAGGTTGGGAATGGTCTGGGAGAGAAAAGGAAAGCAACCAAAAACCCTGGTTACGAAAGATCCACCTCTATTAAACCCGGACTTCATCTTGGACGGAGAAGGACGTGTTCAGCGGCTCGCTCCAGTTGTTCTCCGGGCTCAGCCACAATGCTAACACTGCACAGCTGCAGCCTACAACGGAAGGCAAAAGGGTTTCGAGCGAACTTAACGCCTTAGTTGCGCGCTGTTAAGCCGCGAAGAGGTTACCCCAACATGCTGCCCCTTGTAACACACGAGAGATGGGACACGACATTCTAATACAGCAATTTTGAAAATTTCACAATCACCTCATAGCCTTGATACCGTGAGAGCGCAAGAACGCGCTTTGTTCTCTTCACAGCTATACAGCAACATCCTGTAGATGGATGGGCAGACCAGCACAAAAACTGACACACAATCTTATTAGTTTCTATAATAGGGAATTATTGGTCAATAGTATGTTCTAGCGGTATTCCAGTGCAGTGGTCGCGGTATCGACTAAACGATTCATCGAGAAGAGCTGGATTTTTCTTCAAGTTCAATAAAATCCGTAACTTCGAAAGAATTGAAACGCTTCCGTGTACCTAGTCTTAGCGTTGGCTTTGTGCACCTGAATGATGCACCGGAATGGATCTTCTCGCTCCCAGATTTGGAAATACATATTTATGAAGGTTACTTTCCTGAGGCAGCGATATTAACACAGTTGCGTCGGCAGCAGCCCATATGGAACGTCAAGGAAGTGTGCTAGTGGGACGATGGCAGCCCATATGGGCTGCCAGCTAATAATAGCCTGCCAGTCGATCTCGTTATTTTCGTGTATTTTGGAATTTTCGATATGGAAAAGGCCGATATGTAGCCCGCAACACATATCTACCCGAAGGTTACATATGTTTCATTTTAGGAAAGTTTTTCTGAGGCGTATGAAAATTGTGCTTCGACTAATTTTTCTTTCCTTTTCTAGTTGTTGACGCAAACATGTGAATAAAAAGAGTGCAATTGAAAACAGAGTTCGAGCTGGTCCTGAAATATAATCATATTAAGTCTATCAAGGAACAGTTCTGATTTTCAGCTTTCAGATTTTCTAAAGTTGACCTCTCTGCTCGTTATGTCGATTGCCATGTGTATTTCATGCGTCATTCATGCTTAAATATGATAAGCAAACAAAAGTGAGTGAAGTGAAGTCTTTTATGTATTTCTGCGTTGACGATTCAAATGAAACGCTTTTTTGTCAAGACGCGCTCCAAAGTGCCCGTACCACAAATGCCTTTCGAGGCCCAATATGAAGTAAGAGTCGAAAATTAGGGGGATAACGAGAGAAGTGACAAAGGAGAGAATTTTTCTCTAGTAAGGGTCCATGCTCTCGTCTGTCTTCTTTTGTTTTTACGTAATTTAAATCCCATTGAAGGACCTCCCGTCCCTCTCAGATCCCTCGAAAATCCATCGTAATCGCAGCCTTCAAATCATAAACATGCACTCATGTTGTACTGGTTTACTTAGTCAGCCTGAAGCTATGGCTAGCGATGAACTCATATGCATGTTTTCAGAAACTTCTCTTCATTGAAAGCTGATTTCGTGCCATTCTTGCTTGCTCAACAGTATTCGTGTAAGTGCTTACACGACTTTCCAGTTCATGAAATTGCTTTTTTTCCAAAAAAAAATCATTCATGAAATAGCTTTTCATCCGAAAAAGGCAATACTATCTGCAATACCCAAGTGAAGTAAGCATCGGGGAATATTTGTTATCGAAGTAATATATTTTGCTGTCTGAACCTCGACAGTCTCATCAGTACCACTCCAGAAAGTGTTAGTCCACCATTACAGGCGATAAGTATGACTTGTTGGTAGTGACAGAAGGAAAGGTACTTGAAGGCAAGAGGATAGGCGTGAGGAATGTTAATAAAAAGAGGTTTCTATTTCTTAATACCGCTCACGATCAAGCGGCTCGCTTTTCGCGGAAAGCGATGTTCAAACGATTACCGATAGTGGTGGAGAGGGATAGGATTCGATGCTTGTAGGGAATAATCCTCAAAAGTGCGCAGGACATCTGGGTACTGCCCGGTGAGAGCTGTCCCAGGCCAATGTTGTGGCAGACGTCGCCATAGAGTTTTCTGAGAGAAAGTAATGACGAACGGTTGGGGGTCTGGTGGTGGAAGTCGCACTGAACGTAGAAGGAAGATCTCAAACGAAGAATACTGGAAGCCGGTCTCCAGATCTATAGGAATACACCGAACTATATACGATGCAGCTAACGTTGTCCTGCGGTCTACAAATAAACGTTAACCAGAAAGGCCTTCAACTTCCCACGAAACTTAGATTGAAACTTAGCCAAATCAATAGGAACTAACGAAAAATAGGAACCAATAGGAACTAACGTAACGAAAGCTGGCTCATAGACAGAAACCACGAAGGTCAACTTTGCTCTGCCAGAGTGCGGGTGCTGCGATCGACTTACGGCGAACGCGTCGCAAAGTTATGGGAACAAAGACGTCAAGTAGGAGATGAAGGTTGTGAAGGCGGATGATTCAGATGAGGTACCAATCTAGGCATGGAAGATGCTCGAAGAGCACAGGATAAGGTACTTACTGGATTCCTCGATTCCAGGCTGGAGTTAAGGCATCATTGCCCGCCTAAACGTAGGTGGACTGAATGAGTACACTAAGGATCAGCTCTGGTGAGCCCATTCCTTTTCTTCCTAAGCTAAAATATCATGATAACAGGACTCATGGAAGAACTATCCCCTACGCAGTCGACATCGGTCTGATAGCGAATAGCGAGAAAAAACTTTAGAGCAAAATGCAGAAATGGCAGCAACTGCTGGTCGAAGGTAGCTGTCAGAAGCGATGTGGCCGCTGACTATGGTGTGGTTCAGGCCATAAAGGCAGGGATCAGCACTACATGAATGAAATCGAGGTGCCACCACGATCGCAGGTGCTTCAGAACGCTCAAAGGGATGGTGTATGCGATGGTCAAGGTCCTAGGTGCTTACGGTAACGAAATTGCTGTTCAAGACAGAAACACACGAAAGGGCACTTTGCTCTTCAAGAGCGAGGGTGCTTGCATCGACTTTACGGCGGACGCGCGTCGGCATAAGTTATGGGAACAAAAACGTCAAGAGTCAGACTAGTACATCCTGTCCCACTAAGGTTGCATTTCATAGTTATACGATAATCCGGCGATTCGCTAGATTCAGCGAATCGCTGGATTCACAACTATGGCACCGGCCTAATGGCGTGAGAACAGCTACTGCTGTGATGCAGACCTATGTAGGCAAAGCCACAGACATCCGACAAGGAAAAGCCTGGAATTCGAAGCGCAGGGCAAGCAACCACGAGGAGCTTCAAGAAAAGGTGGAGGAATGTCATCAAGAGAGATTTTACTGAGATCAAAGCAAAGCTAGATGCTTTTTGGAAGTGAGAAAGCTGCGACGATCATCGTATAAGGACAGGCAGACTTTTTCGACGCCGTCCTTCACCCTTTAAAGATGGAGACGACTTATCTGTTTATGTTGAAGATGCAACTGACTGAGCTCTTCACAGTTGATTAGTGTCTATTTTCATTATTACCTCTTTTTGCTTCGCCAAAAGTTGATAAGTCATTTCTTTCAGCGTCGCGTTCGCATGCTGTGAATGCCAAGACCCATTGACTCCTCCAATTCCTATGACATATTCATGCCGTCACGGAAGTAGTAAGCTGGGTATCAGAAAAGGGATTTTACTTTAATTTCCAGCATCCAATGGAGATACACAAGCACCGAAGTGTATGGCGTACCTGCTATCACATGGTAATGCTACGGTAGTAGCACATGCGAATTCCATTCGGTGCCTACTTTGAAGTGAATAAGTTGGTACGTATTCTTTTGCTGCATTTTTTAACTCGGTTATCGTAGTCCATTCCCTGTGTTGTGGTGTTCACAAAGCGCATAATGGCACTGTATGATCTAATTCTTTGCTATACTAAGAATTATTTGACAGCATCGTGGTGTGACCAGAGTCAACCCTGCGTTGCGCAGTTCTCAACGGCCACGTTGCGCAGTTTCGCCCGATTAGACACGTTCTCTCGCGCGAACATTCACACTCGCATGCTCGAGCCGTCTGCGTCTCCGCCCATACAGCGTGCGTTGAGGATCTCTCAACGTGCCGTTGCGAACTGCGCAACGCAGGGTTGACTCTGGGTGCCGTCGCCGGCTTCTTCTCACAATTGTGTCTGAACCTTACTTACTTCCGATTACGCACCGATAGTGAAGTCTTCAAATAGTTTATTTTCCATTTTTGCACCATGAAAGCAATTTAGTGCCTGAAAGAGCTTCTGAAATGTTAACCAATTTTAAATATGATGGTACTTTGTGTGTTTCTACGGTAACCAAAATGTAACCCCAAAACTGCAAACAATGTACACCAGTTCTATGGCAGTCACGTCAATTGTGGTTTCAATTCTACAGGTGACATATTCGGCTGGAATATGGCTCTCAAACCACTCGCTACAATCCATTATCGAGACCCACATACTGGCAACTTTCTCCTAATCCGAAAACCCTCCGCAATCAGTAACCGTATAAATACCCTGTCGTATTATTCTGATAGTTGGCACAGCACAGCTGAATTAGTCTTTTGACATCTCTGCAATCCATTGATTCATACCAAGCTTGCCCCTCTCATATTCCTCTTTAGCTTCTGCACGCCTCCAAATAGCAGAGGCAACTGCTTTGTTGCCTCTGCTTCGCATCAACGCTGCCCCATATAGTAAGGCCGTACACCTGAGGAACCGCTTCGTTGCCCTTCCTCTTTAAGGTTTGATTACGGCTCCTTTAGAGCAACGCGCCTTACCATTAGAGCGGGGTCGAAAACACATATGTATCGCTGAAGCAAAAGCTGACTTTGGAAGCGCTATGAGAAGTTCAGTGCCAGTGCGTAGTGCTACTTAAATGCGTGCGGGTCAGTGAGTCATGAGCGAGGCAGCGTCAACATGCTTCGCAGTCCCACAATTTCTATGAAGAAGAAGAGACGAAACCTTGCCATGGCTTCATATGGCAATTTTGCTTTGGTTTCTTTTTCACTCCCTCACGTTATTCGGCATCCTCTTCATTTATCGACCATTCACCTCACCAATTGAGTTTATTGCTTTAAATTTCTGCACACCTTATTTGGATGAAAATAGTGTTTTCGGAGGGGGTAGTGAGTATCCCTCGGCCCACCGCTGATAGTATCCCAAACTTACACTTCTTCTTTCTAATGTTTAAAATTTAAGCAGTGGCGTTGCAGATTCTGAAATGCTTGCCACGGATCTCTGCTCGGCTAGATGTTGGCCAAGTGTTCGACGGGCGTGCAACAGGGATTCACACTAACGAGAGCTTGGTGGCTCGTACTGCCCAGGTGACACCTTTACGTGATGGTTGTACTGATCATCCCTGAATGTTGCCCGAAATTCACTAGCACCTTGTTCCTTGAAATTTATGAATATTGTTTCGGTTGCCAGTTCAGGTGGGGGATCGTACTCTGATCAAACGTAGTATCATTGGATCTGGATGTGTTGTGGGTGAAAAATCAAACATTCAAGGAAGTGTCATCATGGGAGGATCGACGATATAGGCCAAAGGGGATTTTTTTATGATGCAGTAAGTTGGAAACTTTATCTTCACTCTGATTTATAGAGCAAAGATCACACAGTGCATCATCTGCCGAGGCGCGGTGATCGGTGACAACGCAGAGCTCACAAGTGTTATTGTGACAAGGGATCAGCGTGTCAGTGCTAATGGTTAGTCTTCTAGTGTTTCTTTTCCTTTTTCTATTTTTTTTTTTCGGTGGAATACAAGTGGAACGGACACGCCGAATTTTTGAGCACGGTAGGCGCGAAATGTATGTGCGTGAGGACTGCTGTCCGGTGCTATGGTGTCACGAGAATCAAGGGAAATCGGGAAGTGTAGCCAATTCAGTGGGTTGAGGAGGGGGGGGGTGAAGGCAGTCACTTGACATGCGTTGAAAACTGGAATGGAAGTTACTTCATAGCGTCCTATCACGTCATATGAGTGGGCACCAGTCCCTACGTGCATACATTTCGCGCCTACAATATCCAAAAAATCGGCACCCAGTCCCACTTGAAGGAATCTTCCACGGAAAAAGCTCCGCCCTCATTACCACAGAAAACGATACCTTAAAGGAATCTTCCACGGAAAGAGTGATCATTTTGTCTTGTGTGTAGGATTAGTATTATCGAAACTAACGCTTATGTTCCGTTCTTTTTGCTATGCTCATGAGGCTAGGGGCCTAAGGGGTATCGTTTTTCTGTGGTAATGGAGGCGGAGCTTTTTCCGCGGAAGATTCCTTTAAACTGGATTTATCATGGCCATCGCAAGGCTAGTCCTCCATTTCCTGTCATTCCAAAAGGAAGGTAAAAAACTTACCCAAGGTCCCTAGAGTGAAAAGAGGAGCCCAAACATGTGCAGGAGCTTTGTGTCTGTTGCGACACAAAAGTGCAGGCAAGCGGCGGCCCATGGTCTTGCTTGCGTATTGGCCATCCTTATCGGCCGCAGCACGTGCGTCCACGCCCTCTCGCTTACAATGTGCGCTTTCGCGTTTTCCTATCCTCGCAGCGCTGTATCTTTCCCTCATAACACAGCCTCACAAGGGAAATTGTAGTGTTTCCAATGGCGCCTTTTGCTTTTTTCTTCCGACTGACGTTCATCATTTCACTTCTTGTCTAATTTTCGAACAAAATATTGCACCAATACGATCTCAACCTGTGCCTTTCAATGCGGCCCAGGATAAAATCTGTGTACGAGCGTTCCGCAATGAAGCTAAATATTGTATGGAAAAGAGCAATAGCAAAAGAAACCGAGGGAAACCAAACATTCACGGCTAGCTCCAATTGCTCTAGTACCAATGGCACTGAGCTGCAATGCTTACGCAGCCGTAACGCGGCCACGCTTTTCCCAGCGCCAGCGCAGACCGCAAAGGAGGCGCGACATCGACGCTTCCGCTTGCCTACCGTGATGTTGGATGGAACGGGTGAACGTGCCTGCCTTCAAAGGCAATCTCTAGAAATTGGTTTGGATTTTCCAACTTCTATCTTGCAACCTCGGCATGTTAGTTGTAAGCGTATTGCGATGGTTTTTGTACCGTACGAAGTTGATTTTCCCTATTTTTTCAAAAGGGAAGGTAGAGGCGTGAAGAGAACCGATAAGGAAGAAAAGGAAAGGGAATCGGGAAATCACTAGAGGCCTCTTTCCTCTACAGGGTGGCCAAAAAGGACACTTCACTCCACATTTCAGACAGCATTAATCACACTTTGCTAACTCAAACCGACTGCTCCCAACTTAGTATTAAAGAGCACATCCCAATCTATCAATAAACGTTATAATAGCTTTCTGCACCAAGGACATCACAAGAATTTGCCATGGGAACCTTGTGCACGGTTCGAGCTCAACTGGTCCTCGACGGATCATGGACCATTACGACGTTATCTGAAAGCTGGTCGGAAGGGGTCTTGCACATTCAGAGCTACTGTCCTAGGAAGCAATCCGTCAGTTAACCGATTAAAGAAATTTCGTAGCAGCTTCAGGCTGGAACGATTACTTTAGGCCTTCTTGAGCTCAACGGTGATGGAAGATGACGTCATATTTTGAGGACGGTGAGGGCAGTGGAAGAGGGCCTGCTTCTACTTATGGGAGGACATCTAAGGGATATTTTGCCGTAAAACTTTCATCAACAGCGGCACCCTGTGCGATGAAAAGTTTGATGATGTGCGCCATGGGCAAAGTGTCTTTTTTTGGCCACCCCTGTAGGATTGGAAGGATTCCAAAGGCAGTCAGCAAGGTTAGAGATATGTACTGGCGTCGCGGGAGAAAAGGATCGTGGGTGAGAGAACATCGTTACAGGCGAAGGCGTACGGCCCTAGGACGTCAACTCCTGGACCCAGGCACTGGGTGGAATTTAGCGTGTATCCTTTAGGAAATCGTCTACAGAAAATTCTCACTGTCTAGCATGAATACGTCGATTGTGAGAAGGTGCTGTTATCACCACCTAATATTAGGCGTTTCAGAAAGTTCTGTCGTTTTCCGACCCCGAATTTTAAATGCATGTATCTCGGCTTAAACTAAACCTTTCAAGTTGATTAAAAAACCATTCGAATGCGCGAACCTTTCTCTATAAGAAACCGTTCTACTGGGTACGTTTGTTCAGAATGCTGGAGCTCTGGAGGCGATGAACTGAGGGAAGGTCGTTTTAGCATCATGTTGGGTTTTGATGCATTTCTCTTCAAGGAAGCTATCGAGATCGTCAGAAATGTGACAGTAGATAGATCAAAGGTCTACTAAGTAAGATGTTCGCAGAATCACTCTGAAGTCAGCTGGTCCAACTTGTGAAGGGTTGGCGGTGCGATGTACGTCCAGGACACCTTTCAGG